CCCACCTCACTCACATTATGTTATTCTTTATGTCACCCCCAATGTATCCCCAGCATTTCCCATATTTAATTTCGATTGAATCTATAAATTTGTATTCATATTGATATTCAAATATGCCCATATTTGAGTCACGTTATTTTTTTTATTCTCATTTTTCTACTCGTTTTCAATCACACATTTTTCAATAAAATAATATTTTTCATCATATCAATAACATTTTTTTCGTTTTCAATTACATATTTCCCATCACATAAAAAAAAATTGCATTTTTTGGTTGATAATGTGCACCAAACAGTGCATAACTTCTTTATTTCACAAAGTTGGAGATGAGGTAGGGCCGAGTGGGATTGGGGATGGGGGCAGCAGAAGCTTGCTTTTTGTGATTTGGAGACCGTTAGTAAATTGATGATTACTATTGGGCCCAAGCTTCATATTTCCAACAAAACAAAATTGTACCTTTTTATGCCATTAGCATGGACAAATTTATGAATAAGGCCTTGTTCGAGCCTATTATTTGGTAAATGGTGCAAATTTTTATATTGATTGATGAAGAATATATGGTTAATAAATAAGGAAAAAAATTTGAATTTGAGGGTAATATTATTTTATTGAAAAACGTGTGGTTGAAAAGAAAAGAAAAAAATACAATTTGAAAATAATAGGGATCAAACAAGAGCTAAAATTAAAAATTTATAGAAACGTTCTTGAAGTATTCTACTATTACAAAAGAATGATGGTATTCACAGTGAAAATTATCGGTAGTCTTCCTACGTGACATATGTATGACGATTTGTGATTTGATATATTAATATGGTAATTTTTTATCGACTTGTATATCAAATCACAAACCGCTACATATATGCACGTAGAAAGACTATTAGTAGTTCTCACAACGAATAACATTACTCAATACAATTACACAAATTGCCTTTCAAAAATTAAAAAAAAAAAAAAAAGACATGCAGGGCCTGTTTGAGCTTCATTTTTTTTATATAAAATGTATTTTCAAATGGTAGATTAACAAATAATGTGTTGTTAAAAAATAAGAAAATTTTTTGAATTTTTGGGTAATATTATTTTTATTGCAGAATGTGTGGTTGAAAAAAAAATAGAAAAAAATATATTTTGAAAAAAAATAGAGATCAAACAAGGCACAAAAACAAAATTTTCATTTCCATTTCATCCCTATCTTTATACAAGATTTGAAGATACAATTTTACTTATTTATATTTTTCTCAATTTTAATTTTTTTAGAAAATACGACTTTAGATTGAAGAAAGTTCGTCTTTTCCGGTTTTTGTACAGAATGATTACGATTAAATAATATTTATCAAATTTATTTTTTATCTACTGAAGAAAATAATAACATCGATCAAAAATGTTGACCAGAAAAAGAAAAATAATTTTTTTCAATGTAATACTATTTCAAAGAAAAAGAAAGATTTTCAATGTAGCATTAATTGTTATTGACGTGTTTGGTATGTTAGCTTATAATTTAAAAAAGACTCAAAAAAATTCAAAAATGTTATTAAGTACGTAAGCCCTTGTTTGATACACATGCTTTTAAAATACATTTTTTCAAAACTCATTTTCAATCATACATTTTTCAATAAAATAATATTTTCTATCACATTAATAACTTTTCCTTACTTTTTAACCACATATTTCTCATCATATCATTATTTAAAATACATTATTTTTTTAATAATGTTCATCAAACACCCCCTAAATTTACTCTTCAGAATACTAGGGTTTGATAATTTTACTTGGAAAAGGATATGATGTTGTTTTTATGTAATAAAATATGTAAAACTATTTTTCCTCCAAAATATAATTATTATATGTTTTGTATATTAATTAAATTATAAATAATTTAAGTATTAAAGCGTTTAATTATGACGAGCTTAGTTTAAAGATATTATTCATTTTTACGTGGTTTATCACGTACCCAAAAATTTCTTATAATTATCTCATTATCATGTGTATAACTAAACACCTCAACATGTTTGATATACCGAATCAAATATGATTAAAATTTATGTTAAAATTGAAAACTAATTTTAACTATGCCTTCGATGTGATTCACAATTTTTCAATTACACATTTTTTCAGACTTTTATCAAAATTTACTGAAATTTTGATTTTTATTTAGCACTTGTTAGGGGCTTTTGGGCAAATTTTAATATATATTTTGATCGTTTGAAAGGATAGTGAGGCCCAAGTGTGCANNAAGGATAGTGAGGCCCAAGTGTGCATTAATTACCAACTACACAGAAGCAAATTATAGGAATTGTCATTTATTAAAAAGTAATGAATTTTATGTGAAGGAGAATATTGATAATTTTACTTAATGACTGCCGACACACTGTATAACGACATGAATTTGACTAAAATTTGGATACAAAATATGCCCCAGACAAGCGCTTAAATTAAACAAGGTTAAGTCATTTTTACGAGTTGATATCATGTGTGAAATCAAGAAATGGGGATTCTAAAGATTTTATTGTAAATTTTTGTTCCCACATTGTCTTCATGTTCCATGTAATTTTGTTCCTCGTTGGACCATATTATACTGTCAAGCAATATTAGAAAATAGAATATAATTCATGGGAATCAAGATTGGAAATAAGGTCCCACAACCTTTTTGGTATTTTATGTGTATCTCCCTCCAAAAGCCATTCAAATTCAAATCCACATCAACCCTTTTCATTTGGGCCTTGTATGGAATGGATTAAAATCGGATTAAAATCGAANTAACCATAATAATCCTGTTCACAAGCCTCTTACTAAACTAAATATTAAGGCCTTGTATGGGAGGGATTAAAATCAGATTAAAATTGAAAATATAGCCGTTATTGTTGACTTTTATTAGATGAGTGGGACCCAATAACGGTCATATTTTCAATTTTAATTGACTTTTAATCCCCTCCGAACGAGCCTTTGATCTTTTCATGTTTCATTCTTGAACCCTCCCTTCGTTGTCGAATTTGGAAGGTAGATAATGCTCATTTCCTGGACATTCATGGTGCTTTTGGTTTGTGTTTTTGTGGTTTTGTTTTCAATTTTGAATTCATTTTCTGTTTTTTATATTTTGATGTATTATTTTAAAATTACGAAAAACGCATTGATTTGTCATTCCCCAAAACTATTCCTCAAAACAAAAAATTAAAAAACGCGTTTGGTTTAAAAATTTTAGAAATAGTTTTATGACATTTTTATCAATTAATTTGATTTAAAACATAACAATTTTATGCTATTATGTGATCAAAAAATATAAATTTTAAAGTTGGTAAAAATGAATTATTGTAAGTATATCTTCAACAATCGCATTGAAATCATCCGTACATAATAAATCACTATTGCTCGTATCATTTATGCACTTACCATGATCATTTATATTAATAATAATTAGGGGTGTCCAAAAGTCCCGAACCGAACCGGATCGAACCGAACTGAGCGGTTCTTCATAAATTAAATACCCGAACGGGTACCCGAATCGAGAACCGATGAGTTTGGGTCGGGTCTCGGGTCTAGACCAAGAACCGAATAAGAACCGAAACTAAATAATTTTTTTATTTTATATATTGAATTG